TATTTTATTTTATTTTATTTTATTTTATTTTATTTTATTTTATTTTACTTAATTTCAGGACAGGGATCACCAAGTGTCCCTGCCTGTTTTCGAACTCACCATGTAGACCATGATTACCTTGAATTCACAGAGATCTGCCTGCATCTGCCTCCTGAGTGCTGGGATTAAAGGTGTGCACCATCACACCTGGCTAATTATTTTTATTTTGTATGTACGAGTGTTTTGTCTGTATATGTATCATGTGTATGCCTGATGCCCATGGGGTTTAGAAGAATGTCAGATTCCTGGAAGTGGAATGAGCTACTGTCTTAGTTATGGTTTCTGTTGCTGTGAAGAGACACCATGACCATGGCAGTTCTTATAAAGGAAAACATTTCATTGAGGCTGACTTACAGGTTTAGAGCTTTAGTCCATTATCCTCAGGGCAGCAAGCATGTTAGCATGCAGGCAGATATGGAGTTAGAGAGGAGGCTGTGAGTTCTACCTCCAGATGGGAAGGCAGCAGGCAGAGAGAGTGACACTGGCCCTGTCTTGAGCTTCTGAACCTCAAAGACCCCACCCTCTGCTTGTGTGGGAACCCCCTGATATACTTTCTTCAACAAGGCCACTTCTCCAGTATTGCCAGTCCCTGTGAATCTCTGGGGCCATTTCCATTCAGAACACCATAGCCACCATGTGGGTCCTGGGAACTAAACCCAGGTCCTATGAAAGAAAAAGTACTCTAACCACTGGACCATCTTTTTTTAGCCCTCCATACCCACATCTTCCTTCTTGTTTGAACTAGATTTGTGCTGGAGCAGAGGTGCTTTTCTACCGTGTCTGCTCTTCCATGATAATGCCTCTCTCTTGGTCTTCTAAGTCTTCTCTTGGGATCTTTTACCATAGAGAGAGTCCGGTGGTCAAAGGCAATGCACTGTTGGCCTTAAGCAGCCTTGCTGTCGTGGTGTCCAAGCATGAAGCCAGCCTATCCTCAGATTCTGATGGAGTCGTGGAGGTGAGTTGGAAAGATTTTGGGCATGTGGGCTTTGGTTACATTTCTTTAGTCATTATTTAAGTGGCCTGCATCTAGGTTTGCAAGGTTAAATTCTGTGAGTGCATCATCAGGTTCTGCTACTTGGTGAGCCCTTACTGTGAGCCCTCCTCTCTTCCTGACTTGCTGCTATGCTTTCCTCACTGTAGTTAAGTGGCCAGTTTCCTTTGAAGGTGACAATTTTATGAAACAAGGGCTGTCTTTTTGTGATTACATCACTAGTAAACAATCTTAGAAGGTTAACCAGGCTTACAGAAAGTGAACAATACTGTCAAACAATGATAAATAAGCTGTGTTTACACATTGAAAAAATTGCACTTTGCATTTTAATTGTAGATGTCAATGATAAAGTGCCTGTTCATTTTTGCAAGGCATTTATTTCTTAATTAAACACCTGACAGGTTGGCCAATATTCATTTCCAATGTACTTTTTCAGATAATTCATATCTGTCAAAATAAAAAGATGTGGATTTGTTCTTGTTTTCAGTTCTATTGTCTGTTAGCTATCATCAGCCAGAATGGGTCTGATGTGGCCTGAGTAGTTAAAGAAACAAAACAGAACATAGGCTTTCGAATAACAGAGGCTTATATTTAAATTTCATTACTTTGACTTATTAGCTACACAGTCTATGTGTAGTGATTTCCACTTTTAGAACCTGTTTTCCCATCTATAATATGGAATGACAGTACTTCACAGATAACAGAATTATGAAAATTAAATGAGTGCGTGCGCATGCATGCACACGCGCGCGCACACACCAGTTCACAGGTCATCTCACATTAGCAGGTAAATGATAAGCTCTCAATAACAATAAGCATCATTAACCTTTACTGCCTTTGTCTTAGAGGAGTTTTCTATGAGCCATTTGTACTCTCTTTTGTTCTGTCTTCATTGGGGTTGTTTGAGTTTTAAAGTAGGGTCTCCTTATATGGCCCAGAGTGCCTCCAACTCACTGTCCTGTCTCATTTTATAGCTGTTATTCTCATACCTGGCTCTGTACTCTACTTTCATGGTGCTTTTCTGGATGGAAAGAAATGTTCCTCCCGTTCATTTTAAAAAAAAAAATAACTGAAAATGCATGGACTTTGGAAACCCTTGGAATTGAAGACAAAGTTTAAAGGCTAGGTTTGGCCAGGAAAAAGGGAACCTCTTACAGAGTGCTCTTGAAATATCTTAGCAGAGCATGCTCACTTAGGTCATTTTTTTTTGTCTTGCTTGTATCCACCATTTACAATTTAGATCCACAGGATCCTGTTCCCACCCCGTGAGTAGGCTATGGATGAAGCTTCATCTGAGCATTTAATTAATCCCCAAATAATGGAGAAGAGAGAATTATCTAAAGGGTGTTATTGAAGTAGGTAATTTGGGAACAGCCCTGTGAGCCAAGGCAACTACCCTTGGGGGAAAAATGTGTTACCTGTAAGGTACTACCCAGTGTCTTCTCTCCTGATAATTTTGGTGAGACATGTCCTCATAGGAGGAAAGATAAGCATGACCTATTCAAACCATTCCTGGCCAAGGCCGATGAGGGGGATCTATCCTTGAAGTGATCCCTAAGTCAGGATCAGATGCCTTCTATGGGCTAAGTGCAGGTCTTCCAAAGTTATATTAACTGGTTAGGATCTACTTTCTGCCTGCCGCTGGAAGCAGCTCCTCCCTCTGCCTAAACCCAACACCTCCTCAATGAACTGTAGGCTCTTGAGTAGTCAGCTCTTTGCTTAGGCTGCTCTAATTCTGCTTCTCAGTAAATCTACATACTTTCACTGTTACTCTGTGTCTCGCCTGAGTTGTTGGAAACTAATAACCTGGATTTTCTATCCAGTGACACTGTCACCAGTGAGCAAGAGAGTCAGTACTGTGAGACAAGAGCTACAGATGTTCATGTAGAGAAGGGAATGAGGACTGGGATTAGTACACGAATGATAACAGGATAATTACTTAGCATTCAAATATTTGACATTGAACCCAGAATTTTGTTTTAATAATGACAAAGATAAATGTTTCATTTCATTCAAAGAGCCATGGGATACTTTATTAAACACTACATACTAACTTGATCTGTAACCCCAAAAGTTCATGCACTTTATAGAATCCCTTTTCTTGGGGGATAATTATGGTGAATTAGTAGTTGTGAAGTTAATTTGCCCCATAATAGCTGGAGGTATAGCTCAAAGTTGAAGTCCTAGATTCTCATATGCTTTGTCCCCTACTTCCAGTTTTATCAGACTGAGAAGCCATACAGGCTAAGAATGGCACTTTGCTTTTATTTTTATTGACCTTGCCTTTGGCCTTTTATCAATACAAAGTCCAGATCTCATTATTTGATTAAAGTTAAACAAGTGTGACCAATAACAAAAGATCTTAAGATTAATGTTTCTAATCCGGTGGCCACGGGTGACTTTTATCACCAAGTCTTTTTTTTTTTTTTTTTTTTTTAGTGAATGGAGTTTTTTTTATAATTTGTTAGTTAGGTGAATGGTCATGATAACTGATGGATGGTCATATGTAATATTGAGCAGAAATGCTAGAGACGTTGCTCAAACTGTTTCAGGCTAATTGGTCAATTTGTGAAATGGTAAGTCATAAAGTTTGGAAATTTTCAATTTATTTTTTTCACGTCTCTTGTGTATGTGATTTTCATCACAATTCACTGGGCAGAGGAAACCTGAGTATATTCTGCTGTAGCCCCTGTCTTCCCAGTTCTGATAATCATTGAATAAAATGTAATTTTATTCTTGTTGGGGAACAGGTATGGACATACCTTTGTCAACTCTCTTCACTTCATGTACTCCAAGCAGATAAAGTTTACTTTGTGAGGTCAGCATTTCATTATTTAACAACAAAAAGGGCTGTAAAATAAAGTTTAGATGCCAAAGTAAAGTTTAGATTTGTTATATATTTTTTCTACTATCATATCACATTGTTCCTCATCTACAGGTCCAACCTAATTTCTTACCAGTGAAAGAGTGGGTTTCCATGGTGCTTAATACTCTCCTGGTCATTGTGGATAGCCATTACCACCCCAGAGGACAACTCTTCACCTGCTTTTATCATGTAAGTACAAGAAATATAAAGGACCAGAATTGCAAGGGTTGACTATCCTGACATCCATTCCTCACATGAAAACTATGACATGGTATAGTAATTTCTGCTTCTGACTATAGGTTTGAAGGTGTGTGTGTGTGTGTGTGTGTGTGTGTGTGTGTGTGTGTGTCTGTGTCTGTGTGTGTAGAAAGACTGATGCGTAGGCTCCTTGTTTGATTGAGTTGGTTTAGGGTATGTGCCACGTACTAGCATTATGAAAGCTCTAGAATTTTTTCTGATGTATAGTCAAGGTCAAGGGGAGATATTTGGTCTTTTTTTTGTCGTTATGAATAAAATGAAAAGAATAACAGCATCCTCTGTAATGAATGCCTCATGCCACCCCCTCAGTTTTGTGACTATTGACTTGGCAGTTCACCATTATCATTCTTGTTTTCCTTGTTTATGAAATAAAAGTAAAGATCCTTTGCCGTGCCTTTCTGACTTACCAAAGACTGTGAAGGTGAAATTAGTTAAGTTATGAAAAGTGTTGTATTTTCAAAACAGTAAAATTCTTTGCAAATACCAAGTAATACTGTTGGTCACATGAAAATTTACGGCCACCCACATCTTTCTCTGTTTCATGATGGTATTCTAATGACTGAAGCTGTGAAGTGTGCATCTTGTTGCTGTCTAATGTTCCCTATGTGGTTACTCCTGCAATTGTGTATTGTTATTTTGGTTTTGTCCTTTCAGTAGCCATTGCATAGGGTATTAGAGAGATTACAGGCCAGTCAGCTAAGTTGCTTTGGCTCACAGTTGTTTAATGAAAAACATAGCATAGATCCTGAACTGTTGCGAATATTATGGTTTTAGTCCGAAGTCCATTGCCCAGTTTATTCTCTGTAAATACTCTACTTCTTTTTACCCTGCCCTTGGGAGGACCAGGTATGTATTGATCTTGGGCCCAGGATCCAATACTAGATTTTAAGTACATTTTTGGACAAAAAAAATGACTTAATAAATAATGCAAAACTAAATTGGAAGTTAGATTTTGTTCAGAAAAGGAATCCTCCAGAAAAGGAACAATTTGCTTAAATTGTTTTGAAGCTTATAGAGTAACTATGTGGGTCAGAAATTCACCAGAACAAGACACTAATGTGAGAATCATAGACATTCTGCTTAGTTCTTGTAAACCAATAAGACAAACTCTTTATCGTCCAGGTCAGAATTTGCCGCTTACTTTTTCAATTCTTTTTTATATTACTATTTATTTTAAGGACATATTTCAAAGGTCACTTCCTTTATTTCCTGTGTCATATATAGCTGAGTCCTTTTAAGAAACATTGTCATTTGAAGACATTATATTAGCATTCAGTATAATGTCCTAGATGCTTGATTTCTATCTTAAAGTACTAGAGCTTAGGGAGCAAATACACACAGAATTAAAACACATTGTACCGTGCTTTGACTGCCAGGCATAAGGCCACTTTTATGGCATGTCTGAAAATCCAAAATGGATAACAGTGAGGGTGATAAAGAGGCTTTCTTCTCTACTTAAGACAAATTTACAAAACGTATAGCATGTGTGGTAGAGTGCTCCAACGTGGGACTCTTGCAGATGCTGTTCATGTTCAGCTGCCCTGTCATTTTATTAGGGCTGTTATTCATTTCTCTTCCCATAATTGCATATCAGAAGGCACATGTAGAGCCCCCAGTTTCCTTTTGAATAGCTGGTTACTGCTTTGTAACCAGAAGCTTTTAGAATTTCAACTTCCCTCTTAATTAAAAGGAATTAACCCCCTGTAGAAAATAATCCATCTATTGGGTTGTATTCCCACAAAAAACTTGGGAGATGTGCCAGTAGACCCTTGTGCTGGACTTCCACCTGTTCCTCCCTAGTAAACGTCTCTTTTCCACATCCCTTTCTCGTTTCTTTACTGGACAAGTCCTAGCTTTCTGGACAAGTGTAACGTGGCATGTCTACATTCAGACAGCTTTACATTTGGCTTCCCTGTTATATGGATGCAGGCTTTTTAAAACATTGAAACTGAATTTATATAGTGAGAGAATCCACAGCCTCTAAACATGGGCACTTAGAATTCCATCTTTGAAATTTCAGAGAACATTACTGGTTGCTCAGTAGTAGATGAGCATTGACTAAAAGCTGCGTGTGCAGCAAACACACTGAGAGTCTCCTTTTTGTGCAGGTGTAGAAGCTTGCATCACTGTAGCACTCATGATAGATGTACACCCTTTGTGTTTTAAGCAAGAGGCTAACCCGATTTCTTTCTTTGGTTGCCCTAGAAGTCCTATTCTGGTGAGAACACGGCAAGTGCTATTGCGCGCTCTGCGGCCGCCACGGCTTTGTCTCTCCTAGTGCCGGTTGTCATTATCTCTTGCAAAGAGAAGGTTGAGGAAATCCTGAACATGCTGACTGCCAGGTTACCTGGGAAACCAAGTGCTGATGAATCTCAAGCCGTGCAAATCCACATGGGCCTTGCGTTGGGGATGTTTCTCTCTCGCTTGTGTGAAGAGAAACTCAGGTACAGTTGATTGAAGTATTGCTATGTTTCCTCTTTGTGATTTAGGTGATGTAATACACACACACACACGCACACACACATGCAAGTACCTAAGCATTGCATCTGAGCAGTATGTGCTTGCTAAACTTTTTGAGATGGTTGAATTGTTTATTCTCATATATGGGTGAATTTTGCTGCCTAAAATATTATGTGGATATTAGTATTCTTTGAGGGTTATTATTCAAGTGACTGATTACTTGAAAACCATCTCAGTCTGAGATAGAAGTACAAATGTATAATTAATAGGCATGGACACCAGTCTTAGAGTACTGTAAGTGAAGAGAAACTTCTCCCCTCCCCTTCATTGCTGTTCCTGTATTGACATCTCCATAAATGGGGAAGAAACAACCCGGGAGTCCCATGTAGCAGAGGGATGCTGGGCATCACTGAATCACCCGAGAGCAGCATGTACTCAGCTTCAAAAATGCTCCTTTTGTTCTATAACCTGGCTACATTTTAGTAATCTTTAAAGAGTCCTAATCTGTGCATATTATGCTGGGTGCTTTATTCGGTTTGATTGCTCATTTTTCGGCTGCTAGCATTATCCATGAATGGTGCAAATGGAATATAAAAGACCCAGGTGGAAAATTCCACTAAATGGGCAACTTTTCCTACAAATCAATTAATCTATCTTAGCTTTCTTAATAATTGGTCTTTTCTCTGTATTTTCTAAAATTTTCCCTGTATTTTCTTAAAATTTTATGCATCCAGGTTGATTGTAGTGCAGTTTGACATATTTGTTTACTATGATTATTAATGGTAGTGACTTAAATTTCAGCCGCTTCCTGCTACACTCGAAATATGATATAGGGAAAAATATCCAGCTATGGTGTTAGATGTCCTTATACTTGCTAGTTGGTAGCATATAATGGCCCCAAAGCTAACTGTGTGGTGGATAAACTGGATGGTGTTACACAGCATCTGAAGTGCTCGATTTAAGTTTGTGTTTGTAATTTAGTTACCTTGAACAAACACTATTGTGTTTTGGGGGAGATTACTATTGCTCTTGGGAACGGTATATTTCAAGAGTACATCTTTAGCTTCTGGAAACATCTGTCAGATAAGTGGAATGACTGGCATAGTATCTGCAAATGAAAATGAGACATGCCCAGAATATTCATAGAGGCCCAGCTCTAGATGTGAACAAAGAATATGCCCCTTGCATGGGAATCGACGCCTCCATTCATTCCTCCTGTGTCTGATAGAACATAAAGTGTTTTGTAAAAGCTTAAGGCTTCAAAGTGATTTTCCCCTTTGCTGCTGTACAACAAACGGCGCTCTCCTCGCCATCTGTGTTCAGGCTCTTCCTCGGTTTGCTTCTAAGCAGTGTGTTTTTACATCTAAAACCGAGCCCTTGGCAGTTCAGCTGTAGGGGACTCGCTTCATCCCACCCTGGCTGGGCTCACTTCTTCATTAACTTGGGATAAGGTGCTGCACTGGCTTTATGACTGTCAGGTTTGCTTGGGGTTTAGTTTAATCATGCTGCCTGGAAAGCCGACACGTGCACATTCAGCCCTCATTCCCAGGTTGCCTTCCACCCCTGTCTCTCTTACTTGAATCTGAACCTGCAGGGAATCCTGGGCAAGGACACAGGAAGCTCATCCTTGGCTGAGTCACTGGGAATACTGATAGATTTGTTTGATTATTTTTTAAGACAGAGTCTCTCTATGTAGCCCTGGCTGTCCTGGAACTCAATGTGTAGACCAGACTGGCCTCAAAGTCCTAAGTGCTGGGATTAAAGTTGTGTGCCACCATGCCTAGCCCTGAGTACCTATAGATGTTAACTTTGCCTAAAAGCATTATTTTTTTCTTGGATCTGTGTTCTGATAGTATAGTCACCAACATATAAAAATCCCTGGTTCGTACTTGCCCATTTCTTTTAGAGCAGAGAAATCAGAAATATTTGCTCTTTCTACCAGTAGATGTTTTACTTGGTAATTATAATATTACCAGATGTTGTAGTTTTTCAGACTTGTCTCTTTGTTGTTTTTCTTTTTTCTTTTTTCCTAAAATAAAGGCTAGGGGCTGGAGAGATTCCTCAGTGGTTACGAGTGCTTGCTGCTTTTCCAAACAACCTGAGTTTGGCACCTACTACCTTGTTGGGTGGCTCACTGTAACTGTTACTCCAGGGGCTCTACTACACTCTTCTGGCTTTTAAGGGGATCCACACTCATGTGCAGACACTCCTACACAGGCACCAAGCACAGACAGAAAACTTAAAATAAAATGAATCTTAAAAATATAACCAAACATTGGAGTTGGAGAGATAACTCAGTGGTTAACAGCACTGGCTGCTCTTCCAGAGGGCTGCAGTTTGATTCCTAGCACCCACACAGCAGCTTACAAGCATCTGTGAGTCAAGTCTTAGGGGATCTCCTATGCCCTTTTCTGGCTCCCTTGGGCACCAAGCACACACATGATGCAGAAACAAACATGCAGGCAAAATATTTACAAAATAATATAAATAATATAAAATAAAGCTAAGTACCAAGAGCGCTATTGGCTTGAAATGGGTACGTGAAGTGCCCCTTGAACAAACGTCAGGACTGCATTGTTCAGAGTACATCCTCCCTCCTAGAAGAGACTCATCACAGTTAATCTAGCTTACGATTTTCCTGAATTTGAATTCCTACCTAGGATTATTCAGGAAGGTTCATTACACGAAGCTTCTTGCCACTGTCATAACCTGTGGAGGATGTAAATATGATCTCAGTATGAGAATATATAATTGTACTTTATTCCTAAGAATAGTTCTAAAGGAACTTATTTAATGCCCCTCTTATACCCCATATATATGTATGTATCTCTGTCTGTCTGTCTGTCTGTCCATCCTCCAAGGCTTCTCTCATGCCTCAGTATAATCCAAGCACTGCTGTAGTCTTGGTTTGGAAGCTGTAAAGTGTTCTCTGGCTGCTTAGTATCCTTGGGCTGTATTTCATCCAATATGATCTGAGGATGAAGAGAAGGGGCTGAGCCCTAGGAACCCTGGGTAATACAGTGTGAGTGAGGAGGCCCACAGCTTTGCCTGAGGAAAGAGCCAGAGAGCTCCTATCTAAGGCTTCTTTTGCTATCCAGTCTTAATTCTCACTAAGACAATTATAAAAACCAATTATCATATAGAAGCGCAAAAATGTAGGGCTAGAGAATTTTCCTCCTTAAAAAAACTATATAATTAAAGGAATAAACCTCACTGGCAACCCATACAACTGAGACATGGAGTCATAGCTGCATCCCTCCCAGGAGAGAAGATATTTGGAATGAATAACAACTTTATCAATAGTTTTATTCTATTTGCTTCAAAAGTATCATTTTTACATTTTTAGAAATATTTGAAATTATGTTCTTCAGTGATTTCAAATTTAAATACACAGAGAGGATTCAAAGGAAGCTTTAGAACTTATTGTTTGTAATTGGTTACATCCTTCAGAACTTGATTACTGAATAATTTTCAGTTTAATTTATCCTGTCTACAAAAACGAACATACGTGAGTCACCGATATTGTTACTACATTATTTTTTTTACATATAAAGGAAGGCTGAAATTTCCAGTAGATAGTGACAGAAAAAGACTTTATTTGAAGAACTTTGACCTTTTTTATTAACATGTATCTAGCTGTGTATATGTTAACATGTGTGTGGCATGCTTGCCATGGTGCACATGTGAAGATTGGAGGATTATTTGTAGGAATCGTTTGTCGACATTGATTATGTTGGGGAATCAGACACAGATCCTCAGGCTCACTGAATGTGTTAGACAAGCACCCTTACCTGTTAAGCCATCTCTCTGGACCAGAATGCATTTTATTTGTCTTATGGTACTGGGGATCAAAGCCAGAGTCTTATGCGTACTGGGCAAGCACTCCACCATTGAGCCTCACACTCCCAGGTATGCCATGAACTTGGAACAGTTGAGTGATTATTAGTAATTCATTGTCCCTGTCCCCTTATCTAGTGACATGTCTGGCCAACAGATGAACCTTCTTCTGATGAAGTCCTTGGATGCCCTGGAAAGCTGCTGTTTTGACTCCAGTCTTGAGTACAAGTATGTTGGTTATGTTCATAACTGATGCTTAGCGTGTGTCTGATAGTGACAGCCTTGGAGGCTGTGGTAAAGTGTTTGCAGGATCTGATCTCGAGTTTTGAGGTAGAGTGTGCTCAGCAGTAATTGTAAAGAATCTTGTACCAAAGCTGTTTTGTTCTAAAACCCTGTTATCAGTGGACAGGTTACTTAAGTATAGAGCAATGTGTGCTGTTTTATAGCTTAATTCTCCCGTTACCAAGATTTGCATCTTGCTTTGGACCTCTGACCAGAATGTTTCACTCAACCTTGTTTCAAGATTAGCTGAAATGATTTGAATAGGAGTGGGCAAAGAGAGCCTCTGACAATTTGAATGTCCCTGGAAAACCATTGTCTGAGGTATCAAATGGAAACAGCCATTTATTATATCAGAGGTTCACAATCGTTTTAACGGTTATGGGTCTTCCACCAACCCCCATTTGGTCCTCATTCTTTGTAAAGGTTTTTTTTTTTTTTTTTTTTAAATGAAATATCTTGCCGGGCGGTGGTGGCGCACGCCTTTAGTCCCAGCACTTGGGAGGCAGAGGCAGGTGGATTTCTGAGTTCGAGGCCAGCCTGGTCTACAGAATGAGTTCCAGGACAGCCAGGGTTACACAGAGAAACCCTGTCTTGAAAAACAAAAAAACAAAGAAAAAAACAAAAACAAAAACAAAAAAAAATCTTATATTTTATGGTTTCATTCTAATATTGAAATCTAACAAAGTGAAAATAATCATAAAAGAATAATATAAAAACTGTTAAATGTGCTGTTATACATCTAATCTCTAATCTAATATCTGAGACTTGTATGGCTGAATAATATAGTTTTGTTATGTTTTGTGGAATATTGTCAACAATAGCTTTTACCTCTCTTGACTTCTATGTTTTGGTATCTCAGGTTTGAATACTCTGGGGTCCATTGTTTCTAGAAAACACAACAGTTTAGAACTAACAATTTACCCTTTTCTGTTATCCCTAGATAGTAGCTAGTTTCTTGGGCTCAGACTAACAAAGAATAGATAAAGTAGCGACGTAGCCATTCAAAGGGAAGTTTATGGAGGATTTTTATCATAAATACAGTTGGTCTCTGTAATAGGTGGCACTGATGAGATCTTTGTATACAGGAAGATCTTTGTATACAGGATAAGACTGAATGGAGACCTGACAGTTCCTCAAGAGATTCCTCGGGGATCCTGTGACTTCTTTAGAGTACAGTCTGAGTATGGGAAGGGAGATTGAAGTCTTCTGAATATAGAAAATGACTAATGAGGGATATAAGGGCATGCAGTTATTTTTCAAATCATATGATTGAGATTTTGAGTCTAATATTTGCATTTCTATTGTCTTAATAGCCAACAAGTAGGAATCCCGCATCAGACCTTTCCTTTTTTCCTGTCCATTCTCCCCAGATTCTCCCCATAGCCATAGTCCAGGATGTTAGAAAGATAAGAAAAAGCTTACAGTTCAAGCACTGCAAGGTGTCCACCAGCTGGAACTGTAGAGGACAGTTCACATACTGCTTCCATCCAGCTCTATGGTATAGGTGTTCATGTCTTAAAGGCATCACATGTCTAAGTGTATCTAACCTTAAATTTTATTTTCATGATTGATAAGATTCTTATTTCCTCGTTCTTTTCCTCTCTTGCTTCTCATCTTTGTAGTAAAGAGCAGTATTGAAGAGTGGGCCTGGACAGGGACCACTGCCGCAAAGCAATGTAGAACAGGCTCAGGTGAAACACCTTCTCACTGGGAAGAGAGGTGATTGTTCATTAAGGTCCAAGCTTCCAAGCAGGCTTCCCCTTCCATCCAAACTTCAGCATTCCTACTATTAGTGGAGCTCAGGATTCCCTCACTCCATCCATCAATGACCTGAGTCGTCGGCCCTGGATGGCACTTTTTCTCAGTCTTGGGTTCCTCTGGCACCTGTCCAGCAACTGCATTCTTACGTGTGCACCTTGCATACTTTAGTCCTAATCACAACCGAGAGAGAGCTCTAAGCAGGACGCTTCATCAGTGTGTGAATAAAGAAAGCTAGTCTCTGAGCTGACACTTTTGCTTGTCAGTGGCAGAATTAAGAAATGGGCCTAGGACATCTGAATTCAAACCATTTTTCTTTGTCTTGTGTACTAGAGTGTGGAGAACACAGTTCAGTAGGAAGAAAGCATTTCATACTTGGCAATATGGCATCATTTTTATTGTCATCATCATTATTGACATTTAACTGTTCCCCACTAATTAAAAAAAAAAGTTATTTCTCCTTTTCTGACTTGGCCCAGGCCAGAATGCCCAGTGTATAACATAAAGGACAAATCTCCATCTGCCAGTGAGATGGTAAAAGCACTGCTGTGAGGTGGTTACCAGATCCATGAGTGTGCTACCTCAAGGGATAGAATTCTCCCAGAGCAAATCCTGGTGTATTCACCAGGATTCCCTGATTTTTTGGTGAAGACCCTGAAGATACCTGCGAGTGTCTGGTCCTATTGCTAACATTTTGCTGCCACCTAGTGGTCATCTGTTTACCATTGCCATCCTGACAACCCTAACTCTGGTCCTGTTATCCATCAATGACCTGAGCTTTGGTTAATTACTATTGAGCTGTTACAAATACAGTAACATTTAAATTGTACTCTGTAAAGGGCAAAGTGCTAAACAAATGTTAACTGTTATTAGAACTAATTATCGTATGGCTTGTACTTAATCTGTAGGATTGCTAACAATAAGCTAGGGAATTCAAGACTCATCTGTGATTATCTTAGAAAAGTATTATAATATCTCAGTGGATATGACAACATAAACATAAGATTTGGGTATTCTTTTGTGGTTTTTTGCTGATAATAATTTAATACACTGTGATATGACATTTAAATAAGTAAAGACATGACAGTAGGTAGAGCTTTACTTTCTTTTTTTAGAATAATATAATGGGCTTGGTTTTTGTTTTTGATTTTAAGATTTATTTATTTTATTTTTATGAGTACACTGTAGATGTCTTCATGCACACCAGAAGAGGGCATCAGATCCCATTACAGATGGTTGTGAGCCACCATGTGATTGCTGGGAATTGAACTCAGGACCTCTAGAAGAGCAGTCAATGCTCTTAACCACTGAGCCATCCCTCTAGCCCTCCTTCTTTCTTTCTTTTTATTTCTTTCTTTTTCTGTGCACATACATGTACCTAGGCCATTCACACACAGGAAGATATTGGGTGTCTTCATTATTGTTATCTATTGTGTGTTTTAGGATAGGGCCTGTCACTGTTCTTGAAGCCTACTGTTTTAGCTGGGATAACTTGTCAGAAAGTTCCCAAGATCTGACCGTCTCCATCTCCTCAGGCTGAAGTTACAAGCACCATGAGCATGCCCAATTCCTACATGCCTCTTAGAGTCCCTTCCTTTTTCAGCAGTCACTCTTACCCACCGAGCCCTCTCTCCAGCCCATGTGTA